TGGACCCTAAAAGATGACATTGTCAGCAGAGAAAATGGCAAAACAATTATAGGCTTTTGTGATTTGACTAACTGAAAATAGATTCGACAAGAAAGAGGGAATATACAAAACATGAAATAACTGCTCCTAAGATAAAAAAATTAATATTTCATACTCCAGAAACCAAGGCCATAGTTCCCTTGGACAATGACATAGAGCTCTTTGAAGACGTGTGTTGAAACCATTCAAATCCTTTATGGTCGCCAGTCCTATGATTTGTGGCTCCAATATCAATGATCTAGGTATGACAGTTAGTAGATGACATGTGAGCAAAAGGATTACCTTGTACAGTATGTGGTAGCTGAGCAGAGGAAGCAATGTTAGCCTTCTCAATTTGTTGAATCAACTCTATTAGATTGTAAATAGAGATAAACATATCACTTTGAGTAACTTGAGCAGCGAGTTTCCCCTACCAAGGGGTTCTCCATGGAGATCCCAACACCACTTTTTACTGTGTCCCAACGTTTTGCAATAAGTACACTTAGGTAAGCCACGAACATGACAACAATCAATACTCTCGAATTTGTCATTGGTAGGGGCATATTTTTCAGTTTTTTGAGACTCTGAAAGGCTAATTTTTCAATGTTGTCATTGGGATCTTACTTTATAATGACAAGATTCATAACATTATCTTTCGTTTGGATAGTGGTGCATGCAGAAGCGTAGAATGGAAATTCAAAAGCCATTAGATATTGTCCTCTAATAGCCTCATACTCAGGATCAAGACCTACTACCATAGCAAAGGTCTTGTCTTGTTCAACTTCTCTTATTCAGATATTAATATCAGCAATAATAGAAGGGTACTAGGACATCTCGTCTCACATGCCTCAAGGAATTCCAATATACTCACTAAATGATTTTCCTTTTTGTTTGAATTGACACATATCATGTTTGATTGGAATATTCTGACTGCATTATTTTTTTCTCCATAGATCTCCTTACAAGACTTTCACAACTCTTCAACAGTAGGCTAGAAATTCATCCCTTCACCAAGTCATAGTTCTATTGAGTTTATAAGCCACAACCCAACAATATTATCCCCAGACTCCCACTCTTCATATGTGGGATCATCGGGTTTTGAGGCTGGTTTTTCTTATTCACAAAACTCAACTTAGATTTGTTGTTGAGATACATGATTGCAGCTCTAGATCATATTGCACAATTGGTTCCATCGCGTGAGAGTAATATTTGAGATGTGGTTTTGTTGCCTCATGAACCACACTATTTGAACCAAAAGTTTGATCCCCATCTAGAACAAAAAAAGCTAGAGATTACTTAATTTTATGAAAACAAAATCGACAACCACTGTGGACAGCATGCTCTTTGATACAACTAATCGCAGCAAGAATCGTCAACAGCTGTGAATGAGTTATATGGATAACAATATCTTTTGATGCCCAACGTCCATTGTAGACGAAGAAGCCTAAAGGATAGTTGGATCAATGCTCTTATACTGTGTGGAAAGGCTTATAAAAGAAAAACTAGAAACATAGAAGATGATTCAAGGACATTGTTACGTAGTTCAGTCTCTTGGACCTACATCCATAGTTGAAGGACTTTCTTCATATGCCCATTATTCCATTCACTAAGTATTTTATAAATGCTACAAAATCCCAACAAAATAAAAACTCATATCCCAAATATCTCCTAAATATATTTCAAATGTAAACTACACAATTTGGTGCGTAAAATAAGGGATTGACACAGTGTACATGGATGCTAAAGCTCAAGAGGCTTCTTTCTTGTTTTATCTCTTTTGCAAATTTGTTGCATTTGCTTTTTTTATGCGCTATCACAATAATCATGGGCAAAATCAAACGATAGCCAATTTCTATACTTCATAGCATATATGGTCTTGTGGAACGCTACCATAAATCTCTCGAGAGATTGGCATTGTTTAAACGCTATATCTATTTGGATGGACACACAGGCCCACTAGATAACATTTATTTTAAAATCTATATATACGTGTGTGGATGTGCGTGTGTGCGTGTGCGCATACGCATTGTTGTGACTGACATTAGGTTGTCATCAATGAAATCTATTCATGGGCCGTGGAACATTATTTCTCACTTTAACAAGCCAAGTGAAGCAGATCCCAGTAACTGATTTACTAAATATCCCAAGCTCATGAGGAGATAAGGTTGGCTTGAGATTGGCTCGACCATGTTTAATATGTTATTCATATGAATATACAAAAAGTGCCATATATATTCCATTATATTAACCTCGCTTCAAATAAGAAACTCAAGATATTATATTATATTATATAATATAAATATATATCATAAATTATTTTAAAATGAAAATTTCTCCGTACACTATGCTTTGGAAAACCATTTCTCAAGACCCAAAGCTTCAAAACCTTTCCAGCAGCATAGAGATTCAAACTATTAAATCTTCTAATCCCTTGGATCCAAACGTCTCTCTCTATAATGTTTTTCTCTCTCTCTCTCTCTCTCTCTCTCTCCCTTCCCCTTAAAGACATTTAAATAAAAGGGAGAGACGTTTAGATACAAGGAACACAAATAGAAAGATGTGTTATTTAACATTTTGTTTGGATCAAGAAAATGTGATCGAAAGAGCATATTTGGGTCCAAGGGATTAGAAGATACAATAGTTTGAATCTCTATGCCGCCAAAAAGGTTTTGAAGCCTTGAGTCTCTTGATAAATGATTTCTCAAAAGGTGTATGAAATTTTTTTTCTTATATTAAATTATGTAGTATGGATACTATGTTATACATTTTCTTGTTTATAAGCTGGTTTTGTACGCGGCTTTGCTCGACTTATTTATACAAACAATTTGAACCAAGTCAATTCCAAGCCAAGCTCAAGCATGCCGTACACTAAAGCAAGCCAAACCTAGAAGGTCAGATTGTTAGAACCGCCTATACGGATGTTAATAGGGTGTTTTGTGATAAGTAAACTTAAGAAAATCTGTCAACTGCGAATATAGGAAAGAATCAAGCAAGACCTCTTTTCATTACTGAAAGGGTTGAGGAAAAAAAGAGTCTTGTCTCAAAATTTGGTCCCTCAAAATGGGCCTAACTAATCCTATTGGAGTACATCTCACATGATATTTTGTGCTTCATTCAGTCATAGTTTCTGATGTTCTTTTTCTTTGGTATATTGTTCTCAATCATTGATTAATAGAAGAAAGTAGTCTTGTCAAATAAAAGAAAAGAAAAAGAAGGTTACCTCTACTATATCTCGTATGCTTGTCCCACCATTGCATGTGCATGCGACCATGTGTTCCTGGACAGGCTAAAGTAGAGGTTAAGAATTATAAAGATGACTAGTTTTCAACTTATGCTTTACATAGGTCCCATTAAGTGCATGTGTGTGTCTCTGAGGCTCAGGGGAATTTTTTTTGTTAAGTATAAGAGAGAGATTCAAATTCGTACAGCTATAATTTAAGGAGGAAAATCTATTCATTTTAATCTTCAACTACCCTACACATTCACTTTAAAAATTCATGTTCATGTTGACTTTTCTCTCATTGCGATTATGCTCGCTATATGATGTGTAGATTATCATCAGGTTGGCAGGAAAATGGGATGCATCTAAATAAGTCTTGTATAGACAATGAAGGAAAGTTTGCCTTGTTTTATTTTTGGGTGAATGGATATTCTGCTTAGTTTCTTTTTCTTTTTCTTTTTTTAAATTATTTTCTGCTATCATTTTTTGAGGTTTGATTGTTTTGTTCAGATGGTTGACAATGATGTACTGCCTGTGCTAATGGTAACAGGAGATTTCGTTGGCACCAATGCACCTCTCCTAACCTAGTTTACCTCGTCACCTTGAGGAGATCAGGAATGGTGCAGAGCAAAGTTATCGAGACCAAATCAAACCAGTTGGTCCCATTGAATAGATAACCGATCAAACCAGTTGGTCCCATTGAATAGATAACCGATTGATGCTTGATCAATCTGATCCGAATTAATAATCTGGTATGATTGAAAACTAGTCAAAATCGATGTTTAACATGTTTTAACTACTCAAACATTTTGGTATTAACCTATTCGAGAGAGTAAATAAAATTGAGTAATTTTTTGTATGGAGAAAGGTTTATATAGAGCCTCGGCACTAAACAATCAAATTAAAGCCCACCTCAAAAATTTCATTAGAAGAAGTTGTTTTGATGCCCAAATATCCTCAAGTTGGACATCTTCACATGGTACATGAACATCAAAAAAAAAAAATGGATTTAAAGTTTTGGAAATAGTAGATCTTGTAACACATTTGTGGACTGTCAATTTTCGAGATTTTTAAGTTTTCATAGATCTACTCGATCTACACTATTTTTTAATCTTTAAATTTTATAATTGAAGATGAAAATATACTTCAAGGCTATCACAAAGATTTTCAACATTGAAATGACAGTTCTCGACACTATTTGAACGTGCGTTTTACTTTGAATTTTTTGATTTGGCTCTATACAAAGCACACCTTTTTGTAAAATACTTCGTAATTTAAACTACCATCCATATTTTTCTTTACTTTCTCTTAAACTTCAATCACATGCCAATGCCAGTGACAATCAGACTAATTTGAGCTATACCAGAGCCCTCAAGAGTATGATAGATATGACACGTGACAAATAGATAAAGAGAATAAGAAGATAAAATCCGGGCATTCATGAGTTTTCTAATTTAGTTTACGTTCTGAAATAGAACTCTTATTCAGGAACATATAGGCCTAATGCAAATTTCTCATGCGGCTTAAATTTATCGCAACTTTCTTCGATTCCTTTTAGAACTTCTCTTTTCTTTATTTAGAACTTTTCATTTTTCTCTCGGTTCACATTTATCCTGGGAAAGAAAGAAACAAATTCATTTCATGACTAGCATGGGAGAGAGAATCCCTCATTATTGGTAAAATTCGCATCAACAAATGGTAGTTACCATCAGAATGTCTAAAAATCACACTTCTAAAGCCTCGCCCAAAAGCATGAAGTATATCTGGTTTCATCTGCAACCCATTTTATATCAAACTTTAAAAGTGCAAAATCTTTAGAAATACACCGTTTTTGGAAGTTATTATAACCAACAGGATTACAGTACAACCAGGCTGATCCCAGAGATTTATTCCAAGCATTGTAGCTGATTATAGAAACAAAAAGCATAACAAGTATAACAAAAAGCACCCATCACTTTGCTTTTCATGCACATCCATAAGAACACAAAGTAAGCCTCAAGCATGCATGTCTAAGACACATCTGAGACAGTTCCCCTCATGCATCAGATCAAAACTATTGTTAATCTCCCCAAATGGCAAACTGTGTGTGACATATTCGTCCACTTTGATCTCCTGAAACAAAAACAAACCAGAAAAATAAAAAGATAATAAGGTTAGAAACAAGAGATATGGCTTGTTGACCACTCAGAGATAGAACAGCATGCCATAACTTGAAATAGTACTCCAAAGGGCCATTCATCATTCATTCCCAAAGATGGACAGTGGGGATTAATGGTTCCTGAGCAAATATCCCGACAGGGCCCCATGATTGTTAACCTCAACCGTCATCAGCAAGAATCGACGGGAGATGCCCTTTCAGGTAAAATATACCATAATCCATTAGATTATGGCATAGACTTTGTAGAAACTACTGCACATTTTTCTATTTTTGATCTTATTTTAGATTCAATGGCAGCCTAGTGCTTAGAACACCAACCCAGTATCCATCAGCTACACAAGATATACCTCCAGCACCACCATGCCAGCCCCTCTGCCAACAGCATCAAATCTTCCACCAAGCTCACCATCAATCCTCCATTTCCACTAACAAATCCTCCACCAAAACAACCGCCAAATCCTCCATCCATTCTGCCATCCAGGGTTTCAAAATCCAGATCGGTGGGGTGGACCATCCACCCCACCTATCCGAGGTGGATCGTTGAATTACCGATTCGGATCGGTTCGAATTGGCGATCCAAAAGATTATTTAAGAATAAGAAAAAAAAAAAAAATCAAATAGAGACTTGGGTGGGTTTAAGGGGGACATAAGAAAATATTAGATAAGCTTAAAAAAAGAAAAAGAAAATATGCAAAAGGGAGTCTTAGGAGGAAAACTAGGGCTGGGACCCATACCCACATAAATCCCTAAAACAACCATATGAACACTACAAATAAACACAAGAAAACTCAAACCCTTTCAAAACGACCAAAAGAAAAAACATCTTAATGCTTAGAATTAAGGATATGATGATAACCTTCTTCATGTATTTCTCAACAAGCCAAGGCACTTGAGTACGGGTCTTGAAACCACCAAAGGCAGTTCCCTTCCATACACGTCCAGTGACCAGCTGAAATGGCCTTGTGGAGATCTCCTTTCCAGCAGGTGCAACACCCACGATCACTGATGTTCCCCAACCCTGAGAAGCAAACAAGCTTTGAATTATTGTGGCCCTGCATCCACAAAAACAAAATCATAGGAAGCCCCAAACCCAGATAGTATCATTGTATTATCTACTAACCTTGTGGCAGCACTCTAGAGCAGCTCTCATGACAGACACGTTGCCTATGCACTCGAAACTGTAGTCAACCCCACCATCAGTGAGTTCGATGATAACCTGTTGGATGGGTTTCTCATAGTCTTTTGGGTTCACAAATTCTGTTACTCCAAACGTCTTGGCTGTCAAGTAAATTCCAGAATCATTGTTTGGAATAATTTTTCTTTACTCATGAGACTCATATTGTAGTATTTTAGATTCGACCTCCTTGTAAAGATAAAAGAAGCAGTATCCAAGTTTATCAGCAAGTTAAACATAATTGTAGGTAGCTTCAATTACGCAGAGGAATGAGGACTTCTAATAAGCTTCAGTTAATCAACACATTATATTCACTTCTAATAAGCTTCAGTTAATCAACACATTATATTCATAAAAGGAATATCATATATACGTATTGTCTTTTGAAACTATAACTTTTTATTAAATAAACAGGATGTACAGTATTCGAGTAACAGACATTTATAAAAAATGGTGAAGTGTGTATAAATGGATTGTACAAAGATGGGACAGAACTCCTGTTAGGCTTTGGGACTTATGATCCAAAGTCTTGTTCTTGAGGCTCCATCTTTAGTAAGGGAATCAGCACCTAGTTGGCCTCTTGTCAAGAGCGTCAAAAGAACATGAGAATGGAATGCCATAGCTAAAAAAATTGATCAAATGTCGATCCCAGTCTCTAAGGGATTGGGCACAGATCCTTTTTCCCAATTTATCGCATTCAAAGAGTCAATCATGACCAATATTGTGGATCCCCAGCTACTATCAAACAGTTTTAGCCCGTCCAGCAAAGCCTGGGTGCAAATAAAAGTGGAATTAGCTAACCAAGCGGGTCAGAGTAAGATGTGTGCTTTTTGCAGAGAAATTCCTGAATATGCCCCTAATTCCAACTATACCAGGGTTGCTGGGAGAGTGTCCGTTGAAGGTCGGTGTTTAATGGTACCAGTTGCAGGGGGGATCCAAACAGTAGATTTGGAGATAGGCAGCAGCATGGACCACAAAATATCCAAGATGAATATGCACCTAACTCTTTGTGATTGCAAGCCAAGAAAAAAGCAGTGGCTTTTATGCATTCCATGATTGCATGACATAACATTCTTTGCTCGTAAAAGACTTGCTTGTTTCACTCTAACAGATGGTCCAGAAGAGTGCCAAGATAGAAGCTGCCAAAGGAGCAGACCCGAACAAGAGAATGCATAAGAGAAGTGTGACAAGTACTGATTTGGGGGCTACCCAAACCCAGCCAAAGAGATTGTTACTCAGCAGTAAATGAAGAGATGATCAATCATTCCTCATTGTCCTCACAATGGCACATCTTTGGTTAAGGTAGATTCCCCTCCTCTAGATCCGACTGCTAGTATGAGCCTTTTTGAAGATGACCAGCCAATTAGAAGTCTGGACTTTCGGTGGGAATGGGGTAAACCAGGCCCTGCTTGCCATTGTAGGCGTCAGGTCAACATAGAAAGTGGACTCTGACAATACACCTATGGGCGAGGGGCACCATAACATTTTATCCCTTCCACTGCCAGGGATGAAGTGAGAGTCTACGAGGCCCAACAAGGCCCAAAGGTCACAAACTCATGGAGGTTTATCCTAAACCCTGGTGATGAAATAGTGTGACCTCCCATCCCCTTGTAAGAGTGAGAGATCCGAGACATTTGAGTCTAAACTCATCTAGTAGAGGATTAAGAACTCGACTTCCAGGGGTACCTATCCCAGGCAACCATCCTAGAAACCTGGTGCATTCTCCTGTTTTAGCAACAAAATTTTTTACAGCAAATTACGTATGGGTACTCTTTGAGGGGGTCAATTACCATATAGGGGGTCTTTTGCCAAATATAACAAGCACCACCCCCATCACCCCGTGGCTCTTTTTTTACTTAAGTTGCTCCCTTGTCTGGCAATTGAAACACTGGACAGGGGCCTAGTCTTTTCCCATTCACAAGAGCTGTCTGGCATTTGCATTACCGGACAGCTCAGCATCCTTTTTATTGGTTTTGACGGCAAGTTAGCTGGAATGGCCACAGGAATATCTCTGCCCCATCTCGAAATCCCGTGGCCTGTAATCCTCTCCTCAGGCCATTCTGGTGAGATAATCTGTGCGACCCTGTAATCCTCTCTTCAGGCCACTCTAGTGCAAGCTTTGCGGATGCTGTAATCCTCTCTTCAGGTTCTTTCATCTCTGCCACTAATTTGCGAAGCGATTCATCTGCCAAAATGGTGGTTTTGGGGGTTCGGGGGTTTTCCGTTTACTGCCTCACCCCCTGCTCTTGCCCCAATTCATGGTCACTAGGTCTTGAAATATAATAATGCAGTAGTAATGCTCTACTGCAGTTTATAACACGAGATAGAATGTTGTTTGATGATATTAGAGAGTCGGTGTTGATAGAGAGAGAGAGATGGGGGTGGTGGAGCAAGGTGAAAATAGACTCATTACAAACACATGAAAAATCTAGAGAGAGAAAACAGTGAAATAACAAAAAATGGGTAGACAAAAAGAACTAGAAAAGGGAAATGAGCTTACAGATCTAGACAGAGAAAACAGTAAAATGGAAAATGGGTTGTACATTTTGGCCATGGAGAACCATTTCTAGGTCCTCGATCTGGAGAGAATTCAAGCAAAGAAAAGCCCTCATTTCGAGCGAGATTTCGATGGTCGCAGCACAGAGCTTAGCAGCGCTATGCAATGTTTCAGCCGCTGGTGAAGAGGGGCGGGCAGCAATGACTGATGGAGGCGGTGCCTTTGCTCTTGCTTCTCTCAAGGACAAATTCTTCGAGTACCTAGAATATGCCCCCAGGAATTCACCTTCCCACTCACAGGAAACGAGGAACTGGTGAAGTTTGGTTATGGTGGGGCCATGGGAATGGTTGCACCAAGCATGTAATACACCACAAGAGGAAGGTTGACGAGGTTATTCCTAAACACAAAATCTGCGAAACCGTCCATACTGTACACTATGTGATTGCCCCTGTTTTCTTTTTCCCCTTCGCTCATAGGCCAACCAGGTGAATTTGTAGTTACCACAATCCACCAAGGGTGGCTGGGAAGGCAGCGATGAGGTTTAGTTCTGCCCAAATCCCTGGTATGCGAATTGGTCTATTGGGACCACAGACTGCAGTAAACATCCATCTGATAGAAGTTTTCTGAGCTGTTACATAGAGTATTAGTGACTTGAAAAAAAATCCCTATGTGAGCAGAGTTTTTCGAAAATATAGTGGGGTCCCAAACGACCTAGATTCCTCCACAAGTCAGTTTGACCAAAAAAAAGTTGGGGGAGTCTAGTGGGTTCAACAAGGTCTTGGACATGCCATGCCATGACTGTCATTTAGGGAGGAGGTGGGAGCTTGGAGACACTTGTGATAGCGTCTAGAAGGTCGGTCCTCTAAGGTTGCAGAGTTTGGGGCAGAGAGAGAAAGGTTCAGTGACTCAGACCTCTCATGGTTTATGCTATTGTTACTGGGATCTTCCAACCAGGGCGTTAGTTCCCCTTCGAAATCTTGCTCTTGCAATCCAAGGACGAGAATCTCGCTCCTCCATTAATTTTGGACTTTGGAATCTTGATTCTTCCATTAGGGGTTGACATAAGTGCTCTCATGGGCCTCAATTTTTAACCAAATGGAGCTAGGTCCTAAATTGTTTATCATTCGATCCTGATTAAGTTTAGATGGAGCTCTTCCACATGCTAGGCTCGGCATCCCTAGATTTCAAGATGTATGGACCTCAATCCCGACCCTAGGGAGCCTTCTGCACGTCATGATCCCGCAGTCCCAATCCAAATCGTATATCTAATTCAATCACTATGGTTTATACCGAAAGCTGGATTTTTCTAGTCCCTACAACATTTTTCTCTCGCTTGGGCTTCATTGCGAGCATTACACCTGAAAGTTTCACTAATGTTACTCAGTGGTTTGTTGTGCTTAAAACCCATCATTTGCAACATTCGGTATATATTACCCTCTGTCCGGTTCGATCCTTTTGATTTTTAGCTAAATCCATTAAGTAGAAAGACAACATCTAAGAGCAATCATCCTCACCCATTCGTTGCGGGTCTCCAGCTCTAGCATGGTCCCCCCACCCCCCGGTGGGTCTCCAGCTCTAGCAACTGGTCCCCCCCCATCCCCTGGCAGGTCTCCAGCTCTAGCAACTGGTCCCCCCCCCGCGGGTCTCCAGCTCTAGCAACTGGTCCACCCCCCCCCCCGGGCGGGCTTTACTAAACTTCTTAACTTCAATGGGTGTTCACTGGGAAATATCAGGCCGGCAGGAGTGGATGGGGTGTGACCACCTTGGCAATATTTTTGTGTCCTCCAACAACATTGGCCACACAGACTCCCAACTGGCTGAGTCAATGGAACTCCTCACCGGCCTCAAGCTTTTCGACCCCTCGCAGCCACAACCTCTTATCGTTGAGGGAGACACACGTAATATAATCACTTGGGGGGCGGGCACGGCGTCCCCCCCCTCCCCACTTGTGGTATTTGGCTCCAATTTTCATGAGATTACTCACATTTGAAAGGATATAGTCGTCTTATGGAGGCATATGTGGCAGGAATCCAACGCCCTGGCTGATCAATTGGCTAAAGATGGAGTGTCTACCAGTACCTCAGGTCTTTCGTAGATTGTATTTTGGACTCTTTTTACTATTATACAAGTACTGGGCAGATTTTTAGCCCACTCTTGGTTTTTTAGTTATCTTACCCTTTTTAGGTTCTTGTTTTAAGCCCGAACAATTTTTTGTAAAGAGCTACCCCTTTGGGGTAGTTTTTCTTTTAGCAAAAGGCCCTGTCTATCGGCTATTTGGCTCCCTCTACACATCCTTGTACTTATTCCTTGTCTACTACAGTTAACAACAAAAAGAAAAAAGAACATCTAGAGCAAGATTTTGTTTCCTTTGGGATACCCTCCATTGCAGTAAGGTACCAAGTGCATATTGAGGAGTAGAAAGTGTTGGGATTTGTGACATTTGAAGGCCTAGGGAGAATGTAAATAAAATAAATTATAGTAGATTATACACTTTAGTGGGAGCGTATTGTGGTTGACTGACCTAGGGTTGCACAGTCTATGGCCCAGGTCATGTCTAGAACCCCTACCTTGGGCATGTGGCATTACAGTTGAGGGTTTATAGAGGAA